TCTTTACCCGGGCTTAGGACCAGCTAGTAACTAGTGAACTAGTTAACCAGGAGAGGTATTCGTATTATGAATTTGTAGGAACGATTGATAAAATGTGCAATAAATGTCGAGTTGATCCTTAACAGTAATCTTTATAGACAAGTTGACGTAGTGGCTATGGGATCTCCATTGGACCCAATATTTACCGACATATTTTTGGCAAAATTTCAAAATGATCTTTTGAAAGATCAAATTGTCAACATGGAGTTGTAATGTCGATAGATAGATGATACTTTTTTAGTCTTTGATAGGTGCATATGTAATAATTTTATTCTGATCTATTTCAACAGCGCTCATTCATCAATTCATTTTAAACATGAAATGAAATCTGATTGGATACTTTTTCTTGATATGCTAATGCCAAAGGAAGAAGATAGCTCTAAACTGAGTTTATATAGAAAACCGACGTCTAAGACACAGTACATGCACTTTCTGAGCTTCGTGCGGATGAAGTGAAAACGTAATATAATCAGGTGCCTGGCATTTAAAGTAAGATCGATTTGTTCCAAGGAGTGTGTGGAAAAAGAACTACTGTGTATCCGTAATATTCTAAGTGAAACGTGATATTCCAATACAGTTAATCAAAGCTAACATCAACTACATTGGTTCTAAATGAGAAGTGATGACAGTTGAAAAGAAGGCTTTGTTTTTGCGCTTACGATTTAAGAGAGACGCTGCAAGTAACATTCTATCCAACGCCCATCTAGAGCAGTTAATAGAACGTTTTGTGTAGGTCGGCTTTGTATATCATTCATTACTCCGTCAATGCTCAATCCGAGACTAAAGGATAGGCAACCTAATCTTAGCTCTTCATCCCCGAATATCAGTTTAACTGTTCCTTTTTAAGTAGTTACACAGGGCGTACTATTAGGCAGGTGCATGTACGACAGCATTTACTAACTTGGTTCGGAAAGGGCGAGGTAGAAATGGTGAAAAGTTCGGTCTTAGCTCATTTAGTCGATACAAGGCATCACATAGATGGTAATAAAGCTTACAATACCATTCATCACCAACGCCTGCTCAACATTGCTGAGGCTGTTGCAATAAGACCGATCAAATCTGAACTGTGCATTCAGAAAGAACAAATCCAAGCGTTACTACTCCCATGGTCTTCAGTAAACTAAAGCACACTCCTGGTTTTTTATTCTTTATCTTTTTGTTCACTATCATGTCATTCATCTGTATATCCATCATTGATTTCCTTAAAGTCCCTAAGTCACTCCATTTTGAAAATATATCTTATCCTAACATGGTTTGATTTCAGGTTGTACAAGCGCATTTTGTAGTTGTCGAACCTTAAGAGAAGTTATTGAAAAGAATATTCTGTCAGATTGTTGCTTTTTATTTATCAAATAACTACCCATCACAATTTATTATCCAGCACAAAGCAGTCAGAGCGCCGGAACCTGCTTTTCATTTTGTCCCGAAGAAAGATGTATTCATCAGTCTTCCGTACAAAGGTGACTCTCACAGTGCAATCCTGAAGCAGAGACTTGACACTGCTGTTAGAAGGACTTATTCTGCAGCTAGGGTCCGATTAGTAGAAACCACCAAGTCTGTATACTCTCCCAAACCCTTACAACACGTGAACAACAATATCATATCCCATTGCATCTACCAATTCAAATGTACGTGTGGTGACACATACATAGGGAGGACTCATAGATGCATGCAAGTTAAGAGTTTGGAGCGTATTTTAAAGTAGCTTCAGAAACAAATTGAATCACCTAAGCTCATAGACGTTGGTAGCAGACTTCCATGTCTTCAATCGCGAAACATATCGTTGGGACAGGTCACAGGATTGACGTTGCTACTCCCTCTAAACCTATTTACAAAACGTTTTGGGGACGGATCCCTAAACTTGTCGAGGCCTTAGCTACTAGGAAGTTTAAGCCAACTTTGTTTATTCAATAACAATTTGTTATCACAGCATATTTCCATTGATGAATTCAACTCAGAAACCAATTTCGGTGTACTATTATTTTCGCTCTATAGATTTTCATTGTTATTCGGCCTTCAGTTCAGCTTTCCTACTTGACCTCTTTTCATATTCTCATCTCTTATCTTTATGAGAGAATTTCATATAAATACCTATGACAAGTACATGTGTGACCAGATTGTTCAAAATGTGTTGCTCAAATACATTACACGGTTCAGACAATTTACGTCTATTATTTTAACCAAACTACAACATTGTCACACTAACAAGAAATTGGATTAACTGATTGAAATTTATGAACGTTCGCCGTATCTAGATGAGGATAGACATGTAGACACTTTCTCTTAAGCCATTGCTCGTTTGCTGGAACCACTTGCTGTACAAAAATGTCATGGCCGGATCAGAAACTTATGCACAAATAAAGTCAATCATCTAACGTGATTATAAAACTAAATCATCCTCATCTTGTTGTGTAATCTTCTATGGATGTCACACTACTACCTCTGCAATATCTGAGACAGGTGTGCCATGTTTGATCACCCTCTGCCTCATCGCACATTATTAGCTGCAGTAGATTAGGATAGAAAAATCCTGGAGGTCGCCAGACTAAAACATAGGGTGGTTGGGGCGGCTTAAAAGGCCACAATCGAAATGAATAATTAGGCTTCTTCGTTTCGTATGGGAAGGCTAATTTTCATAAAAGTCGATCCATGATTGTTGGTCCAAGTGATGTATAGAAACGAAGTATTTACATATAACCTGGCATTACTAACTAACAGTCCAAGTTGCCACTCTTCATGTCAGCACATCAAAAAGGAAAAAGGGTCAAAACGGTAGAAAGTCATTAAAAGAGATCAGGAAGGAATTATAATAATGAGATTCAACATGGCAATTGAGATAATGTATGAATACATATGCGCCACTGAGATCGATTCCGAGCCATATCAACTAGTCTGCGGCAACTGCCAAGATTGCATTTCTCTACACTGCGTAGACCGGCAGTCAGAGACTTTACAAACTGATATCATGTTTGAGTCTAGCCATCTCCAAGCTTCATCCAACCCCAGTTACTTCATCTAGTACTGTGCGGAGAGGCAGATGATGATGAGGCGTGCGTTACATGTATCCCAGCCAATTAAGTTGATGCGGGTTTTCGTAGTAGGTACTTTTATCGCATAAGTGGCTCTTTCGGAATCCTATTCGAATGGAAAGATATCGGCAGTCTCCTACTGCATCTGTAGTCAGACAACCATCCATTTCTGGTCATCACAAACTTTACAAACTCACACACATTATTTCTAACGTGGCGTCCACCGACCTCAGTCAGCGATGGGTACAGGTAGATAGTATTGGTAACAGTTATTACTGGAGAGGTTCGGTGGGAGATTGCTGCTGCTTCTGGAGCAAATGTTTTAATATTGACTATGGGTATGTTTGACCTCATTTATAGCATTGCTAGTGCTGTTTGACGATGAGAATACTTAGGCTACTTTTAACAAAGGCTAGCTAGACAGTTATCGATACAGAACAGACCTTAACTGATTCCCTGAAAGTGGTTAAAAGGAGATAGCGGATCTCAGTAGATTCTTCTGAAGTAGTGGATGGAGGTGAGTGTATTTGTGTGGGCTCCGACGACAGTGAGGATCGGCAGAAACTGAAATCTAGACTGACAAGAGTCTGTGCAATGATGATGAACAGCACACATTCTGGGCCTGAGATATCGGAGTTTTGATTATCGATACCTGTTGGCCGATTCAATGGAGGTTGCGGACATTGAAATCTGCATTGTGTATTTTGAATCTCTGAAACCATGAACTCAGATCAAGACCTGGAGAGCTCGGTTATAGTAAGAGGTGAAGTAGGAGTGCTGATCGACAGAGATGAGAAGTGGTTAGAAGTTTAGGATATGGTAGAGTTTCCTGTTTTGTCGAAAATAATGATTACACTGGTGAACGGTTATCACCTGGAGTGATGCACTTCATTTCGCAGATATTTTAGCCTACTACGTGTCACTGTGAATGTAACTTGGAAATTATATCCATGATGAGTCAGTTTACTACCAATGTATTTGCAATGAATATTTACATACAATATATGGAAATTTCAATTTTCATATGTTAATTTATTCTTCAAAACTGTCAGATGGATGGCTGTGGGTTTTCATAATTTCGTCATATGATTTCGAAATAGTTATATTTGAGGTAGAGGCTCACTTTTTTTTCTTAAAGACGAACACTGTGTTATGCTGACAAAGGCAATTGATTGGTATCTTTTTGTCATCCTGATTGTGATTCACCTGTTCCAACCAAATCATGTTCTTTTTCACCGTCAACTGTTACTCAACTGCTCTGAAGTACTTTTGAAAGTAAACTAAAACATCTGAGTCATTGGTTAAATTAGCACCTTAGAAAAACATACTATTAAGCTGATATTCTTACGATTGCTACTTCCTAGACAAATAGATAATCTCACATTTTCAAAGTCAGTTTTGTTTTCTTTGACTCAGACTAGTGTTAATTTTTACTGGATGTTTTCAGCTGATTAGTCAGCACATATCAAGAGAAAATTTTATTTTCATGTATGCACACCTAGTTGCTATTTTTATAACACGACCGCGTTTCCAATCAACTGAAATCTGTGGATACCTGTATTGTAGTTACATGTTTTTTGTAAACATCAGGTACATCAAACCTGCTCCACTACTGTTTATCTTCGTGTTTTTAAAGTTTTTGAGTGAAAATGTGATATTTTTCATTAGTTTGTTTGACTATCGACCGATAAATATTCACAAGCATTGTTAACTGTAAGACTTATGTTGCACTTCTTGAGAATCTAATAGACGCTTACATTTCTGGACAAGATCAACTTGACTTGGGATATCTTTCTAGTGTGTGAGATTTGTGACTAGTCAGGTGAGACTTATGTATCCTACTGTCGTAAGGAAGTGGTTTTTTTTTAGAACAGAAAGACTTGGATTTGCTAAATCTTTCTATTTAATCATTATGTCAATTTGTTTTCACAGCTACCGGAGGGTTCTTTGTCTAAAGACATTATTTTGGACTCATTCTACAATGAGATTAATAAATCCCAGTTTTCATCGAAACATAAAATGACGTTTGAAAAGTGTTTCACTGCCGGTCAGAAAGTTGCACGTGTATTTTATTTATGGATTTCTAAGTCTACTACCCTCACATTAGTTCCATGTATTTGCTTAGTTGATGTTGCTTCGCCTATTGAATTGATGTATGAAAGCTGTTTACTATATCTGCTACATCGAATCTTTCATCTACTGGGTTTGGTGTTCACATAAATATTGATCAGGCTTTAGTTTTCAGCAGTAAGTTGATTACATTTTACTATATTTCTATTCGAGCATACCATAATCTAGTTAGCTAATAGAATATATTTTATTCTAAAGATTTAACAGAACAGCATTACATTATTCTATAGTTTGTCAATAGTTTTAACTGAACTTCAGGACTACTATTTTATGTGCAATTTTTGCCTGCTAGTTATTCCTCGAACCTCGCCTAGATGACTAATTCACTAGTTACTAGCTGGTCCTCAGCCCAAATAAACAGGGGAGGTTGGGCATACGGCTAACAACCCCACCCCGGAAAACCAATCTAACTGCTACAGAAATTTCAAAACACAAAGAAAATATAAAAAATGAAAACAAAATTATTCCTCGCTGGAATCGGAGTCGAAATGACGCCAGTTGGTGGAAGCCTTCAGGAAGCCAATTGGCCGATGTGTCTTCTCTCCCTCGATGAAAGCGAAAGTAAACGTGGGGACATGGAATGTCCGCACGATGTTTGAACTAGCAAGGCTGCACAGATTGCAAAAGAGATGAGAAGGTATCACATTGAAGTGCTTGGGATTGGCGAAAGCAGATGGAATGGGAGTGGACTCTCCAAACTGTCAACTGGAGAATCAATAATCTACTCCGATATTGTCACCCAGACGACACGACAACCACGAGCACAATGAGTTATGGAGTGGCTATCATGATGTCCCCAACAGCATCGCAGGCTCTCATGCAGTGGGAACTAATCTCCTCCTCCAGCATCAGGATCATGACAGCAAGATTCAGCTCAAAAGAAAGGAAGGTCACAGTCATACAATGCTATGCACCTACAAATAATGCAGAGCAAGAGAAAAAGGAGGAATTCTACAGACAACTGCAATCATTACTAGACAATGCTCCAGTTGGCGACATCAAAACTCACTCTATAATGGGTGGTGTGACATGAATGCCAAACTGGGAGGGGACAACATAGGAAGAGAACTAACCATGAGTCGAGAGGCGCTAGGTGAAATGAACGAGAATGGAGAATTGTTTACAGAATTCTGCGCATTCAACCATTTGGTGATTGGAGGAGAGGCACTGTGTACAAACACAAGGATATTCACAAGGCAGCGACATGGGTTTCACCAGACACCAGGGCACACTAAAATCAAATCGACTTTATCTCAATCTCAAGAAAATGGAGATGCAGTCTACTTAACACAAGGTGAAGAAGAGGAGCAGATGTAGGTTCACACCACTCACTGTCTAGTGCAAGGAACCTGTCTTCCAAATCAAGTTAAAAGCCTTCAAAGAAGTTGGTGATAGACGACCTTAGTTGAAGTTCAACACCCAGAACAGAAAGTGAACTGAAGGATGAAGCCACGAAGGACACCCTCACGTCAGCTAGTCATTAGGACAAAATGGGAGATATTAAGCAACATCCTCGAAGAAATGTGTGTGGAAGAACACTGGAACTCCTTGGAAGAAATGTAGGGAAACCTGTATAACCATGTTAGGAAGGAAGAAGATGCGAGACAAGGAATGAATCTCGACAGACACCAGGAAGCTGATACAGCAGTGAGAGGAAGATGGTGATGGTGAAGCAGAAGATGAACCAGTGTACTGCAATGCAGGGGTGAACAACAAACAGAGGAAGTGAACACAACCTACAAAACACTACACTGGGTAAAGAAGTGAAGAAGAGTGCGCACAAAGATAAAAGACACTTCCACGACACACCTGCAAGTGAACCAGAACAGGTTGCAGGTAGGAGAGATACAGACCTGACAAATTTATATCAAATAACCAGGTTACTATCTAGGAGAGAAGAGATCAACTCAGATGAAACCAATGAGAGATAGTGAAGGAAAAAAAGTTACCAAAGATGAGAAACAGGTGAAACAATCGGCTGACCAATTCAAAAAACTCTCGAATCGACCACCACCACCACCACTACCACTTACAACTCGTCCCGAAATACCACCAGCAAACCAGCCACAGAATTACCAGTGAACACAAGACCTCCGACAAAGGCAGAAGCGAAGTCCTGAAAGCCATAAAGTTGCTGAAATCCGGGAAAGCAGCAGGACCAGATGAAATCCCACCAGAAGCACTGAGAGCGGACGCAGGGACAACAGTGGAAATGCTCACACCACACCACCATTGCAGAAGGTCTGGAAGAGAGGGAAGGTACCTACCGGTTGGTTGAAAGAAGGACTACCTTGTCAAACTTCCAAAGAAGGGAGGTCTACATCTTTGCAAGAACTGGTGAGGAATCATGCTGCTGTTCTTGTCCATCCAAAGCAAGCAAAATATTAAGCCACATCATACTGGACAGGAGGATGCAAGTTGCCTGACTTGGGTCAATGAGAGAATACGAATAAATGCTTAGATCTTCTTGGTGGTATGGTTTGGAATCAGTCAAAATAGTACAAATCTACACACTCTTTATCATCTTCGAAGTTGTAATCATTTTTACCAACCTTCATTTATTGATTCCCGCTCCTCTTCTACACTTTGTTTACTTTCCATTCTATTTCTATCCCTCTTGCCTTTCCATGGTGCTCTCAAGTATATCAGTCTCAACTATGCTAGTTTCTGTGTTGATTTGTCTGTCACACACCGCTTCTAAATGACTACTCAATTTACATGATTTTCGCATAAGCTATATTGCATATCGCAGTGTATACTATATCGTAGACAAAACAAACACAAAAAAGCACGTGTAGTAGGTTGAGTTGCACTTGACTTCTGGAGGTTTATTTCAAGAACTGGTGAGGAATCATGCTGCTGTTCTTGTCCACCCAAAGCAAGCAAAATATCAAGCCACATCATACTGGACAGACTAAAGGATGCTATGGATTTAAAATTACGACCAGAACAGGCTGGCTGGATTCACGAAGTACAAATCATCTATGGACCGAATTGCAACACCTCACTAAGCATCATCATAGAACAGAGCATATCATAAAATGGCAGTCAACTCAACTCTACCTGAACTTCATCGACTTTGAAAAGGCCTTTGACGGTGTCGACCAAGAAGTAATTTGTCAGGCAGCTGTTTCAACACTACGGCTTTAGTGTCACAAACCCTTATCAACCTCATTCAACAGCAGCTATATGATGATATGATGCCACATGCCAAGTGATTCACAATGGAAAGCTCAGTGATGCCTTTGAAGTGAAGACAGGTTGATAGGTAAGACAAGGCTGCCGCCTACTATCACCAATGATCTTCCTGATCGTGATCGACTGAACTGAACTGGATCATACAAGAAACTGTGAGGAGTGAGAATAGGGGTCTACGCTGACTGGACCGATGAAAAGACCCTAGAAGAAGATTTGGATTTCGCCGCCGATGATGATTTATGTCTAATGTCTTAGTCTTATCTCACAAACTCGAAGATCTACAGGCGTAAACCAACAAGTTGACAGAAGAGGTAGGGCAGTGAGGATATGACTTCCTTCGGGTGAACGTAGAGAAGACAGAGGTGATGAAGACACGCAACCAACAACAAGCACCAATCAGTATGAACGGGAGAAATCTGAAGGAAGTAGTCTCTTTCACCTACCTAGGCAAGGCAACATTGTTTCAACTACAAGTGGCAGCGGTGACATAGACGAGAGCGTCAAAGCCAGCCGGGATCGAAAAGACAGCAGGACAGGTCTTCATTAACCTGAAGTCAGTGTGGAGATCTACTGCACTCCACTTCACTCAGCATAAAGCGCGAAGAAGATCCGGATTTTCAACACGAATTCAGTCAAGTAAGTCAGTGCTTCTACGTGATGATTGAGAGACTTGGCGTGTCACGAAAAGAATTTCTAACAAACCACAGACATTCATGAACAGCTGCCACCTACGCTCACTCGATACTGAAGATCAGATGGATTGCCAGAAAGAATAAGCAAGAAGGAACTCTGGCTGGCTGACTGGCAATGAACCAACCAACGACCCATCTCCCAAGAAGTATGTAGATGAAGAAAGCGGAGATGGATTGGATTGGACATACAGTGAGAAGGTGGTTTGGGGACATAACTCACCAGGTCGTCGAGTGGAAGCCAAATGGGAAACGATGAGTTGGGCATCCGAGGTGAGTGTGACATGGGGGAGATCGTGTGAGGAAGAAATGAGAGCTTGTGGGCAGTTGTGGAGCCAGACTTCAGAGAACAGAGTGGAATGGAGACGTACTACTGAAGCCCTGTTTTCCACTAGGAACCCAAGGGACAAATAAAAATAATCGAAAAGTCTATGATACATAGTTTTGTTGGTGGTGTTCAGATAACTCTTCAAGTTGTCAGCATCACCGGCTGACAGAACTTTGTTGTCTACGTGAGTCTTCTCAACCAGGTACGTTCCGGAAAGTAAGTCAGTAACTGGGATGTCGGAGGTATCTAGGATTCTGGTCACCACCACCTGTATGAAAACTTTTTCATGAATGGTGACAGTAGACATTTTTAGGGGACATCGTTGGTTGTTAATACTTCTAACGACAACTCTCCTAAATCTCTACACATATGCTTGAGTTCGGGTAGAGAACTTTGTTAGGGCTACATAGTTGTTCAGTAATCCTTTCACAGCTGGACACTGCTGCAACAACTGTTGGTCAGTGGAATCGGATGCCACTTCCACACCGAGAAATATGGCCTATGAGTTTGTTGTTCTAGAGCTGAAGTTAGGCGTAGGATGTCTATGAACACTTGGATTCGGACGCACTCTTAGTCTGACAGGTTCCTCTGTTGTATCTCCAGGGAGACTTTTCTCCTTTCTTATAAACTAGAATGACTAGGGATCTAGACGATTATGGTAAAAATACCTCCGATTCCCATACGCACAGAGGACTCGACCTTTTTGTTTCTTACTCCCACTAAAACAGAACATGCACCTGCTCATAATAATGGTTGGTCAGCGTTCAAGCAAGTATTCTAGAAAGAGTCTGAGTTCTCCATTGGTCTTTTCCAACGATGGCTTATTGTGATATCGTCTATCTGCGCCTAACGCTGTTCTGATTTCGGTGGAAGTCTAATTCGCTTGAAGTTATTGCTGGCTGGAACCAAGTGATTATCGGAATAAAATTGTATGAGATGATCACTGTTGTCGTTTCGTTGATGTGGAGTTCTGTAGATCCCCTCTGGATGTTTTCCGATTGTTTCGGCTCTCTTAGTTGAACTTTGAAGTCTCCTACTACTATGAGTATTTGAAAGTTTTGCTTCATGTAGCAAAATCGACAGTCCATGATAGAATTCATCCTTTGTATCATCCGGTCTGCAGTCGGTGGGCGCTTAGTTAGAGACCACAAGTCGCAGTCGATGAGTGATACCTGACTACCTCGTCAAGATAACATCTACTGATTGGGACAACCACTGTCGATGTTGTTGTTAATAAGTACGGAATATCGGTCAACAGGTACGCAGAAATCGTCTACTGCTTTGAGGTTCAGGGAGAATAACGTGTTTCTGATAATAAACTGCAGGCACATAAACGTAGTTTTACATCTTATTTATATTTGCCTACATTCAATATTGTGTGGATGTACATCTTATTGGCTTTAACACTCAATCTTCGAGCAAAGATTTCCATGTTGAAATCTTATTCCGCTCATGTTGACCTTCGCAGTCATGTAATATCATAAACCCTAATAAACTGAGTGTGGGTCATGGGCCAAAACATGAACATGCACCCATTTATTGAGTTACTTTACTATTGCTATTATTATTATCATTATTATTATTATTATTAACCTCGCCTGGTTAACTAGTTTACTAGTTACTAGCCGGTCCTAAGCCCGGGTAAAGAGGGAAGGTTGGGCATAGGGCTAGCAACCCTACCCCGTAAAACAAATCTAACCGCTAAAGAAACTTCAAAGCACAAACAAAATATAAAAAATGAAAACAAACTTATTCCCCGCTGGAATCGGAGAGGCGAAATGACGCCAGTTGGTGAAAGCCTTCGGGAAGCCAATTGGCCGATGTGTCTTCTCTCGATGAAAGCGAAAGTAAACGTGGGGACATGGAATGTCCGCACGATGTTTGAACCCAGTAAGGCAGCCCAGATTGCAAAGGAGATGAGAAGGTATAACATCGAAGTGCTTGGGATTTGCGAAAGCAGATGGAATGGGAGTGGACTCTCCAAACTGTCAACGGGAGAATCAATAATCTACTCCGGTCACCCAGACGCCAACCACGAGCACACTGAGGGAGTGGCTATCATGATGTCCTCAAGAGCATCGAAGGCTCTCATGCAGTGGGAACCAATCTCCTCCAGGATCATGTCAGCAAGATTCAACTCAAAAGGAAGAAAGGTCACAATCATACAATGTTATGCACCTACAAATAATGCAGAGCAAGAGAAAAAGGAGGAATTCTACAGACAACTTCAGTCAACACTGGACAAGACGTCAGTTGGCGATATCAAAATTCTAATGGGCGACATGAATGCCAAACTGGGAGGGGACAACACGGGAAGAGAACTAACCATGGGTCGAGAGGCGCTAGGTGAAATGAATGAGAATGGAGAATTGTTTGCAGAATTCTGTGCATTCAACGATTTGGTGATTGGAGGCAGTGTGTTCAGGCACAAGGATATCCACAAAGCGACATGGATTTCACCAGATGGACACACTAAAAATCAAATCGACTTTATCTCAATCTCAAGAAAATGGAGACGCAGTCTACTTAACACAAGGTCAAGAAGAGGAGCAGATGTAGGTTCAGACCACTATCTAGTGCAAGGAACCTTCGAAATCAAGTTAAAAGCCTTCAAGGAAGCTGGTGATAGACCTCAATTCAAGTACAACACTCGGAAACTGAAGGATGAAACTACAAAGGAGATCTTCAAAGCAGCCATCAAGACAAAATGGGAGACGTCGAGGGACATCCCTGAAGAAACCTGTGTAGAAGAACACTGGAAGTCTTTGAAAGCTATGTGGAAAGAAACCTGCACAACAGTATTAGGAAGGAAGAAGAAAGAAGACAAGGAATGGATCTCGACGGATACCTGGAAGCTGATAGAGGAGAGGAGGATGGTGAAGCAGAAGATAAACCAGTGCAAGGATGCTCAACGACAAGAGGAACTGAGCACAATGTATAAAACACTGGATAAAGAAGTGAAGAAGAGTGCACGCAAAGACAAACGACACTTCTACGACACACTGGCAAGTGAAGCAGAACAGGCTGCAGGTAAGAGAGACCTGACGACATTGTATCAAATAACCAGGTTGCTATCAGGGAAGAGACCAACACAGATGAAACCAATAAAAGATGAAGAAGGAAATTTAATTACAAAAGAAGAGAAACAGAGGAAACGATGGGCCGACCACTTCAAGAAGCTCTTGAATCGACCACCACCTGCACTTCGTCCAGAAATACCACCTGCAGCCGCTGAATTACAAGTGAACATAAATCCCCCAACGAAAATGGAAGTCCTGAACGCCATAAAGCTACTGAAATGCGGGAAAGCAGCAGGACCAGATGGAATACCGCCAGAAGCACTGAGAACAGATGCAGAGACAACAGCGGACATGCTCACACCACTATTGCAGAAGGTGTGGAGGGAAGAGAAGGTACCTGACGATTGGAAGAAGGGTTACCTTGTCAAACTGCCGAAGAAGGGAGACCTCAGTGCTTGCAAGAACTGGCGAGGAATCACTCTCCTATCCACCCCAAGTAAAATATTAAGCCGCATCATCCTGGAGAGGCTTAAAGACGCACTGGATTCAAAACTGCGACCGGAACAGGCAGGCTTCAGGAAGTACAAATCATGTGCTGACCAAATTGCAACGCTTCGTATCATCATAGAACAGAGCGTAGAATGGCAATCAGCTCTATACCTCAACTTCATCGACTTTGAGAAGGCCTTTGACAGCGTCGACCGAGAAGTAATTTGGAAACTGCTTCAATACTACGGAGTACCGCAAACCTTTATCCGCCTCATTCAACAACTATATGAAGATGCCACATGCCAAGTAATCCACAATGGGAAGCTCAGTGATGCCTTTGAAGTGAAGACAGGAGTGAAACAAGGTTGCCTACTATCCCCCATGATATTCCTAATTGTGGTGGACTGGATCATGCAGCAAACAGTAGGCAGCGAGAAGAGGGGGATACACTGGACGACGGAAAAGAACCTAGAAGACTTGGATTTCGCCGATGACTTATGCCTAATGTCACATAAACTTGAAGATCTGCAGGCAAAAACTAACAAGTTGACAGAGGAGGCAGCTAAGACGGGACTTCAGGTGAATATAGAGAAGACAGAAGTGATGAAGATACCGCACCACCACCATCAACAACAACAACAAACTCCAATCACCGTCAACGGTAGAAACTTGAAGGAAGTAACCTCCTTCACTTATCTAGGAAGCACTGTTTCAACTACAGGCGGGACGGACGAGGACGTCAAAGTCAGAATCGGAAAAGCAAGACAGGCATTCATTAGCCTGAAACCAGTGTGGAGATCTTCTGCACTCAGCATGCGGAACAAGATACGGATTTTCAACACCAACGTCAAGTCAGTGCTCTTGTATGGCTCAGAGACTTGGCGCGTCACGAAAGGCATTTCCAATAAACTACAGACATTCATCAACAACTGCTTACGCTCGCTGCTGAAGATCAGATGGCCAGAAAAAATAAGCAACAAGGAACTCTGGGAACGAACCAACCAAGAACCTATCACGCAACAAATATGCAGGAAGAAGTGGAGATGGATTGGGCATACACTGAGAAGGCCGACTGAGGACATCACGCGTCAGGCCCTCGAGTGGAATCCCCATGGGAAGCGACGAGTTGGACGTCCGAGGGTGACATGGAGGAGGTCGTGCGAGGAGGAAATGAGAGCTTGTGGGCTGTCGTGGAACCAGGTTCAAAAGATCTCAGAGAACAGAGGTCACTGGAGGCGTGCTACTGAAGCCCTATGTTCCACTAGGAACCCAAGGGACTAATAATAATAATAATAATATTATTATTATTGTTATTATTATTATTATTATTATTATTATTATTATTATTATTATTATTATTGATATTACCATTACTTTTGACTCAAAGCTTCCTTAGTTTAACAGGTTTTTCTGTTGCACTTAAATTCTTTTTGAAAGTCATAATCGACCTCTTTTTATCCCATCTTGAGGTTTTCTTGTCGTAGATCGTTTTTGTACACTTGATATTGAGAGTTACATTCAACATTCTCTACAAGCATCCAGTTTGAGAAGTTCTCTTGGAAAACAACTTTATGCCAATTCAGTTCTTTTGCAGTCTTCGAAAGACTTGAATAAAATACGTGTTCATCAAATTATCTTTTTCAATGGTATGTGTTTTAATAACGCCCTTCATTCAAATGTAATTACTTTTCTTGTCTAGTATTTAAACCTTGTTTTGTATACTCGCTGCGAAAGATTCAACTGTCAAATAGTCAATAGCAGCAGTATAGTTCTAATAATGTATCATAAATAAATTTTTTTATGACAAGTTTACACACATTGATAAGTTTTTTATTTCGATAATAAATATCGAGAAAAATAAAAAGCTCATTTTGTTTTAATGTTATAGCTTGTAAGCCTTCATCGTTGATCGGCCACTATTGGCATATGCGCTTCTATGTGGATGACTTCATACTGAAGTTAGTGCTGATGATGTCGTCTAGAAAGACGACGAAAGGTTCAAGATTAAACAACCCAGCTCAGAGAACACAATACAACCAAGACCATCCACCTGAGCTACAAATATTCTCCACTATTTCAAAATCACACGAGTGTAACCTTAATGACATCTCTTAATATCACATTTCTTTTTAATTACCAACTTGCTTACCTAATATGTTAATCATATGTGTGAATAATTAGTAGTGCAAAGTGCTAAGGATGTCACCAAGCATAGTAATGAGACGTTCACGACTAAATATTGAACTTTGAACTGATTCAACACTGAATTTGGCTCCTCGTTTCACGTAAGAACGTCAGCTCAATGCTTAAATAAAAAGGAGTATGCATGGAACCCCAGGATTCCAGCACAGTTTGGACAGTCCCCTATTTTCGTATCGATAAATTAGACACCAATGTAATTGGATGCCTAAAACTCAGATAAGTTCAATTCACTCCGAAGAGATTCAAAATTCGGGTCAGACATTTCTTGAACTGTATGTGGTATCCTGTACCCTGAGTCACAGTTGTCGTAGCTGGAAAATAATAAACTCAGCTCTGAGATCTAACCTGCTTTTATAATGAATTATTTGTGGTGACAGATTGTGGGTAGATCGCAACGGTAATCGCGGCCAAATATAATATCGGCATAATGCAGATTAGGCCGAAGTATGAATATATAGTAGATGTTATTATCTTAACATACTGTTTTATTGTTAGCGACTAAATTTGCTCTTTTTTAATGGTATATTTCATTATTGTTTCCGTTCACAATTATTTTTCATTCACTGTTAATATGAATACTATTCTGCATAGTTATGAAGCCTCGGGATTGTCATTTACCTTTAATGTTGTAACGATAATTCCTCCGGAAATTCAATGCGATAGTAAAGACAAAAGTTTTATTCAGACGTCTTTTGCGTGTTACTTGAAAAATGAAATGAACGGTAGACTGACGTGAATTTATTAGTCAAACAACACTGTTATGTATTATTTTATTATGCATTGTGAATGTTTCAGAAAAAACAAATGAATATATATCTTCGTTAGTTTCTTTTTGCGAATTATGTTTGCGTTTTAAAAAAAACATTATATTCCTTTTGCTCGGTTTGATGTAATATAGGTACCCTGATTCGTGTAGATACTAATCGGTCACATGTTTGGCCTATTTGTCCTTACTGTGCATGTGCTGATTTTGAAATTCATCATAATGTGAGTCATGAGATCTCTTCGAAACCTGAAAATTTGAAGTGCATACGGTGTTCTGCACTTGTGTCAAACCCGCTTCAACGGTCAGAAGTTGAAGTACAAGTTCGAATTAAAGATGAAAGTTATCAGATGCCTATGAACAAGCTGAAAGAATATCAGTCGCCATCAGTGGAGTTGACGTTAAATGTAAGCAGACTATATTTTCTAATTATTTCACCTAACGTTGGTTTATGTTTATGAATTTTAACTTGTTTTGAATAAGTTGGGATTTAGGCCTTCCCGATGCTTATTTGTATGCTTTGAATATCTATCACTATCCAATTCAAATTGTTCTTGTCTTATTGGTCTCATGTTGTTACTTCATTAAAACAATTACTACCTGTATGGTATAACTTTAAATTTACAACCTCATTTCCTATAGTCTACCACTTTTCATATTTCACTTCATTCATATCTTGATTCTTTTGGTGTGATCTTCCAATTAGTGTCAGCTGAAATTCACCCACTGTCCTTTTCTTGATACTTGTAATTTTCCGCTGCTATACAGGGCCGAATTGCTCGACCTCTGTTGGCAGATGGGGACTTTTACGGGCGTCTGATTACTACCAGATATTCATGATGTTGTATTCATCGTGCTGACTAGCAGTGGAATCCAGAACGCACGTTTCGTGCTGTTTGGGACTAGTCGGCCGGATCTACATGCGCCCCAGTGAGTGATGTCCCCACTGAGACAAACCCGATACTTATCGCTTCAAACGCCAAAGCGGTATCCACTGGGGCACGAGAGTTGCCATTTATGCAACAGGTATCAGTTGTTGTTCTTTTACTACTTGTATTTTCACGTTGCCACGCAGGGTCGAATTGCTTGACGAAACGTGTGTCCTGGATTCCGTTGCTAGGCACCCAGCAGATATCAGTATAATGAGTAATCAGGCAGTATTGGGGCACCGGGGTAGTAGCCCATCTTCCAACCGACGTTGAACAATTCGACCTCACAAAGTAACGGGAAACGAATCGTATCAAAAGAAAAACAACTGATACCTGTTGAACAAGAGGTGGGTATCGTGTTTCAGTGGCCTAATGGCTAACAATTTAGCATTTGAAGCGATGGGTGCCGAATTCGTGTCTCAGTGGGAACATCACTCACTGGGGTGGATGTACATGCAGCTGGCCAGCCCCAAGTAAGACGAAACGCGCATCCTTGATTCCACTGCTAGCCACCAAGCAGTCTTTACCTATTTCTGTTACATAAACTCTGTTTTGTGAGACAGAATCATTGTTGTTAGCTTCAGTCTCAGTCCTTGTACATGACTTCAATTACTATTAATCCATTTTATACAAGGGGATTAAATAAAACAAACATGGAATTCAGTTATTCATTCATGGCTAGAAGATTGTTCACTGAAACACAAGTTTGAGTTTCTATGACTAGTCTTATTTACTGATATTAGTTCACTGAATATCTAAAATGATGTCATATCCTCGGTTAATGTCTGTCACACTGTTCCGACAAATACGATTGCTTTTCAAAGTTCTTCGTGCACAGAAATGCGTACACGTTTTGGCAGCTATTCGCAGAGCGGTGGTTATTAACTGAGTTTCACCTTCTCCAAATGATAACAATATATTTCAAGTCACTTACAAAGTCTGTAAGATTATGATCCAGTTGTTTCTGATGACAAATCAATTTTGCTCTCTTTGATTTTATGTAAAATTTATTCAGAAGAGTTGTATTCTTTTTATACATTTATTCATGTGATAGAATTATTCATTGTAATTTTCTAACAAAATTTTTTTATTTTCAGATGGCATCCTGGAGACTCTGCAAGTTACTCAATATAACTCGTTCAAATTTGTTGGTGGTAATTTATTTAAATATCATCTAGTTAATTGATATGTATATTATTTTGTCATGCCATGATTTGTAAGTTTATTTCTCAACATAGCCAGAATTGCTGACCATTATTAGTGTTTATCTGAAAGTGGATTGTACTGGCACCTATACATGTCACTTATTGGTATACATTGATTCAAAAAAAACCTATACAACTTTGCATTGGCTTTATTTCACTGATAGGTTTGTTTCCTTTCGTTTGTTATTTTGACTCATCATTTAGTATATTTGAGGCTGGACAGCTTTAACTGGTATACACTGCAGGTAAGTAAACTGAAGTAAAACAAACAGTCAGCGAATAAAACTTTTTTTTCGACTGAGTTATTTATGGGTGAGTAACTGAGTGTTACGAAATCAGCCTTAACGAACGAGCAATACTGTCTGTGGAGTTACTGATATCCAGTTCGCACTGGATAGCTATTTGGTCTTATCTTGAGAATACTCAGCAAAATTCGACACATAATCCTTCATTTAATGAATTTAGTTCAATTGTCTGTAGATAGCTTCAGCGTTTAGTGTCATCATAAGGTCTATTATACTGTGCCCCGATGTCACAGAGTGCATTGATCAACGAAGGACTGACTGGCAGACTAAATCTACAAAAAACCTCGCACACAGGTGTATCACCTCAAGTTGCCACACTTCACAGCAGTACACAAAGAACAGGTGAATGAAATTGTGTGAGAAAATAAACAATCTGAAGATGAAGGTTGGTGCGAATATTCAAGCTTTAGGAGATGTTAGGGAGTGAATTTATCTGCACCATTGTGACTGCATGCAATGATTCCTGTCATCTCGTTGACCCCCTCTCAGGATTTTGCACTAATACCCTCCAAAGCCTACTTTTCCTACTTTGCCAGTTTGCCATATGGTGCGACCTCAATCCTATAATGTCATTGAGTAACTGTCTTCACGCACGACTTGATTTGTCTTATCGGTCACGACCCAGTGACTCAAGAGTAACGTGTTGGCCGCGGAACCTTTAGGTCCTAGTCTCGATCTCTGGCGGGGTCAAGAGTGCAAACTGCCGAGGAGTCTCATGCTAGGATGAAACTACTGTCGAGAGCTCTCAAATTTCCAATGGTTCTGCAACTGATGTCAGTCAATGAAAGGTACTAACTTGAAATCATTAAAATAAGAAATATCGCAATTTATCTCATAAAAGATGTAAATGTAGGTCGACTTATTGTAGCCCTATGGATACAATACTCATTATTTGGGAAAGTGTGAGTGAAGGGTGCGTTCATCATAATCCTTGAATATTCCCTTCTTTCTGCTATCATGTTTATGTGCAGTCTGTAGTATCGATAAGTTATCTTAACTTATGGAGACGACTGGAGTCTAACCAACAGGTTAGTAAATTAAGGCCAGGAGTTGCATGTATACTTGTTGGAAGGCAAGATATTGCAACTATAAGGTATATTTTTCGTACTTATAGTCCCCATACTATGCACAGTTGAGTAGAATGTCTGTAGTAGAAGTCATGAGTTCGATAAAAGTATTTTAAACGAGAGATACTGGTCGATTGGACTACGTCGTTGCAGGTAATTTTTATCTCAGTAGGTGAGTATCTTAGTTAACTGTTGCATAGAAAGTATAATTCGCAGTGTGAAACATTAAATTTTGTACTGTTTTGTGAACAAAGAGGCTTTTTTAAGATGTGGTTGTTGTTCTTTATATTTTGTCTACTCTGTTGTGTATACTTCGCTAGGTTATCCAATGTATTGAAGTCATCTAATTATCGAAGAGTTATTTTTGTGAAATCTCACTGTAATTAATTTTGTCTTGATGTGTATGCATAATTACGCGTGGTCATCTTTGTATTTCTTCATTATTCAAATTAGGAATCTGGTCTCAACTCAAAGAATCTAATAAATCGACGCTTAGACAATGTTTATGCAATCGTTGTTACTATTTCGAACAAAGTGACTGTGCATGACAGTGTGCAGAAACATAATACTTATTTGAAGCATCTGTACGCTATCGAGTTAGATGAAATCGAGAACAATGGCCAGTAATACATTATCTTTAGTGTTAACTTTCTTTAGAATTGCATCACTTATGACTAATTTCAGCGTTATATTCCAGCGCCAAATAATTTAGTGTAACATCTTTCAAATCGAATTAGGTTATCTGGACACATTTATTTAATGTTGGTCACGAAAAAGTTTTCCATCGTTGTAAATACATTTTGTTAAATTTTGTTCGAAAATAGAAGTATATTTTCCTTTGTCCTTTTTTCAGAAACTTTAGGGAAGTTGAATGGAGTTGTTGACCAAGTCATTTTGTGGCATACATTTCACTTAAGATTCCGGAAATTTGTGGTAACTGTAACTTAGGGTGAATAAAATCAAATGGTTTTGGCCTTAGAATTTTACTGCACATTTTATTACGTTTGGAGGAGCTCTATTTCACATATTCTTATCACAGGGAAAGTCGAAAAATCATCTGAAAAAGTAGGAATGAGGATTAAAAACTAAACAGACCGGTTTACAAAAAGTCTACGTAGAGAGGGCAATATACTGATTTTTATGGCTTTGTCGCATTCTGGCAGAAGAGGGATTTTCCGAATACAAAATGAACAGAGCTAAGAATGGATGTTCTGATAATATCGTAATAAGTGCAGTGGGGGAAGTTCAGAAATATCGCAAGGTAGAATAGTTATTCACAGAGGATTATAAACAATAATATTATGGATAGAGCTACGAAGCATTTAAGAAGCTATTATTTATGGCTTTACAGTACACGGAAGATATTATTTCACAAACTTGTTATCAAAGAATGCGGAATGATATGGATATGGACAATCAATTATGCCCGAAACGTTATCCAGTAAATAATACTGTTTCACTTTATGATACATCTAATAAACAGTCTAAAATGGAATGCAAAGTGATATATCTTTTACCGCCGCTTTCAAAATATGCTTTACAAGCAAGATGGTTCTACTTTTGACCAAAAAGGATGAAATTTTGTATTTGTCTGAAACGATATACAAATGAAAGTTTAGTTTCTCATATGCAGTAAGTCATCTGGAAAGCACTATGATGACCCTTCGTTATGTCGTGGAACAATGGTCGGTCAGCCTGGTTGAATGAAGATGACGTGTGAAGGCGATCACTGAAATCATACAAATAAATCCAGTCAATATTAGCCATTTTTTTGGAAATGAAGACGTCATTATTGTCTGTTGAATTGAAAATTCACAGTTTTATGTGTTCCGAATTTATCTTATTCAGACAGCTAAAGCTGTCACTAGTTAAATTGAAGCAAAAACCAGGTGTTCAATATGACTTCATCCAAAAAATTATAATCCGCTGATCTTGTAATGACCAACACGAAGCATTTTTGATTCTAACCGGCTTCAAACTTACTTAATGATCGAATATTTTTCTGTGCTTACTTGATATCATTTGCTAGTATTAATTCAACTATTTGCTTTTATACTTTCACATCTATATTTAGTTACTTACTAATTCTTCGATCTCAACTTTCCTTTATTATTTTATGCAGTCTCTTCTGGATTCAGATCTGGCTTGGTGTGCGTACTCGACTTCCAAAACATGGAAATAGCACTCAAAACAAACTCCAGCATGGGCTTCTAGGTAGTATCATAGACTCTTCGATTATTTTTATTTGTCCCTTGGGTTCCTAGTGGAAAACAGGGCTTCAGTAGTACGTCTCCATTCCACTCTGTTCTCTGAAGTCTGGCTCCACAACTGCCCACAAGCTCTCATTTCTTCCTCACACGATCTCCCCCATGTCACACTCACCTCGGATGCCCAACTCATCGTTTCCCATTTGGCTTCCACTCGACGACCTGGTGAGTTATGTCCCCAAACCACCTTCTCACTGTATGTCCAATCCAATCCATCTCCGCTTTCTTCATCTACATACTTCTTGGGAGATGGGTTGTTGGTTGGTTCGTTGCCAGCTTGCCAGCCAGCCAGAGTTCCTTCCTGCTTATTCTTTCTCGACCCGACCGATAGCTACGACCTTGACGTGGTGGTCGGGCTTGCATATCACAATGACCCAACGAGCTATGCTGGTGGAACGCTTGTTCCCTCGAGGTCCTACCATACCAGAAAGGTCTGTTGGGTAGTGGTTAGACGAAAAGCAGTTACCGTCATAGTGTAAATTGCTACACTATGATGGGGGTCTGAGGGCGAAGTCGTACTGCTGCTAGCTGGATGGGGTGTGACAGCAGTAAGGTGTTTCCCTTGGATGACCAGCAGTGCCAAGCTGATGCTGCCTTCTCAGTGGAAGGGGGGGTTAGAAAAGGTCGGCCCCAAAAATAACACACTCCACCACGCCCCACGGTCTGCCGGGCCGGCGGTGTTGGTTCACTTGTCGTTTCCTTTCGACCATCCGGCCCCAAAAATACAAAAATTCAAAATAATCATACTCAAAAGGCTGGGTGTGACAGGCCTCAAGCAGATGTCCGATGGGCTCTGCGGTCACACAAATCTCTTTCAGGTACCTTAAGAAGAAATAGCCTTCCACGGTGTGGGCAGCCGGGAAGTGTCAACCGCCCTCACAACTCTGTCAGCACCCAAGTTTCTTCTGACTGCTATCCTCCTCCTCCATCATTACCTTCTAATCTTCCTTCACGTCTCTTAATTAATGATGCTGCATCATCTTCAATTTCTCCTACCTCTGCAGCCTTCGACAACGATCTGAGTCCACAGAACAGCATCCCTGGTCTCCTTAAACCACGCTCCAAATTACATATTGGAGCCTTCAATGTCCGCACCCTCCGTCAAATTGGCCAACAGGCTTCGTTGGCAAAGACTCTAGCAACTCGGGCATGGATGTGTGCTGTGTTTGTGAGACACGCATACAGGACCCAAGTGTGGTTATTCACCTGACCTCTCCTGACCAATCTGGTGAATCTGCAAAATTCACCCTTCGAGTTTCTGGAGATTCGATAGCTAGCTCTCGTGGTCTTGCAGGTGTAGGTATAGCATTAAGCACCAGGGCAGAAAACTCACTACTAGACTGGATCCCAGTTGATAGTCGCCTCTGCGCTATGAGGCTGAACGGCACAGTGAGAACTAAAAGGAATAGTGAGACTCGCCGTTGTCTCTTTGTAATCTCTGCTTACGCACCCACTGACTGTAGTTCGGATGAAGTGAAGGACGAGTTCTACCATAAACTGTCTAACCTCCTCTCGAAAGCCAAACGTTCGGACGTAGTGGTTGTTGCAGGTGACCTCAACGCACAGGTGGGTAGACTGAGTGAGGCAGAAAGGCACTTAGGTGGCACTTTCGGAATCCCAGCTGAACGTACAGATAACGGTGATCGCCTATTACAACTATGCTCAGATAACCGCCTATTTTTAGCCAGCACAAATTTCAGACATAAAGAAAGGCACTGTCTGACCTGGCGTCCACCGAGCTCGACTCAGCGATGGACACAGATAGACCACATTGCTATTAGTCATCGCTGGAGAGGATCGGTGGAAGACTGCCGCTCCTTCTGGAGTACGTGTTTGGACAGCGATCATGCGTTGGTCCGAGCACGTATATGCCTGCGTCTCAATGGACGTAGAAAAAATTTGGCAACAAAACCACTACGAGTTCTGCTGGACAACGAAAACACCAAAGCCGTGTTCAGTGAGAAGTTGGCTAGGCAGTTATCGGAACAAAAGACTGTCACTCATCCAGAAGAAGCTTGGTGCCATCTTCAGTCTACTGTAAAAGCAGCACTGGAGACTGTAGCCGACTCCAAGATAATGGCTAAAAAGAGCCAGTGGATATCAGCAGCTTCTTCCAAACTAATGGATGCACGTGAATGCATCCCTGCAGGCTCTGAGTACAATGAAGAGCGAGCGCAACTTAAAAATAACTGACGAAAAGTCTGCGCAACGATCGTGAACAGTGGTGGGCAGCAAAGGCTAAAGAGATGGAAAAGGCAGCGGCGATCGGTAACAGTAGACAGTTATTTAGACTTATTAAGGAGACTGGGGGGAAATGGTCAACAACAGTTAGTGAGGTTATAGCGGAGAAGGACGGATCGGCGATTCACTCGCAGGGAAGGCGACTGGGACGATGGGCAGAACACTTTGAGGAACAGTTTAACTGGCCTCCAGCCACCATTGCGCTGCCCGCTATCCAGTCGGACCCTGAATGGGACATAGAGACAGGTCCCCCAACACTAGAAGAAGTTGAGAAAGCGGTAGGTAGCCTGAAACGGGGAAGGGCAGCAGGACCAGACGGACTACCTGCTGAGGTATACAAGAATGGTGGTAGAGTTCTCTTAGTCAGGCTAACGGAAGTGTTAGCCAGTATATGGGAATCAAATACGATCCCCTCCGACTGGTCTAAGTCACTCATCATCCCAGTCTTCAAGAAAGGCGAGAAGTCCTCTTGTGATAACCACAGAGGAATCAGCCTGACAAACATAGTGTCTAAGATCCTAAGTTCTATAATTCTCCGACGCCTGAGTGGAGCTCGGGAACAGCAAGCCCGAGAAAACCAGGCAGGCTTTAGACCTGGCCGTGGATGTATCGACCAAATATTCACACTGCGCCAGGTCCTGGAACATAGGCATGCTTACAGACGCCCGACAATAGCTGTATTTCTCGACCTGAAGGCGGCATTTGACTCCGTTGATCGAGAAGTCTTATGGCAGTGTCTGTCACTGAAAGGCGTGCCTAGTAAGTACATCACCTTATTGAAAGCTCTCTACTCGAACACTTGTGGGCATGTTAGAGCCTATGGTGAGTTGTCCAGGGAGCTATACTCATCAAGTGGTGTCCGTCAAGGATGCCCACTATCCCCATTCTTATTTAATTTTATCATAGATATTCTTATGGAGGTTTCCCTCTCGTCACCTAATTACAAAGACGTTGACCGGATCACAGGTGAATTTTCCTTAGATCTAGAATATGCAGATGACATAGTCCTGTTAGGTGAAGACGCTGACAAGATGCAGAGTCTTCTGAACACTTTGAGTGGGAATTTGAGAATGTTTGGGATGCGATTTTCACCACCCAAATGCAAATTTTTGCTCCAGG